CAGACGTCTGAAGAGTCTAATGCCTCTAAAAGCTCCATCACAGAAAGTTATTACATAAAAGGTTATGAATATGCTGTCTGATATTGTTCTGCAGGAGTTTTTTTTTCATCATGAACATTTCATATGAACACTCAGCAGACTCGTGTAGGGGTTACAGGAGGACAGTAAATAATAATAACAACAAACAAAGTAACAAGTAAGTAAAATATTGACCAACTGAATGAGCTAATTACATAAACAAACAATCAATACATTCTTTACATGAATGAGTAAACATGTTAACCTTTGATGAAATTTCAAGCAAAAATTAAATGAATAAACTAATTGACTGAATGAACATAATGAGTCAATGAATTTCGGAGTAAATAAATGAATTAATTACTAAATTAATAAATAAATTAAGTTAATGAATGAATACATTACTGAATCTATGAATTAATACAGTTTCGGAGTAAATAAATAAATAAACTAAGTGAATGAATGAATACATTACTGAATCAATTAATGAAATTTCGGAGTAAATGAATGAATGTATGAATGAATGAATAATAGATAAATAAACTAAGTTAATGACTAAATACATTATTGAACCAATACATTAATGACATGTAATAAATAAATTAGTAAACTCAGTGACTGATTAAACACTTTAATGAATTAATGAAATGTCGGCGCGAATGAATGAATGAATGAATGAATGAAGTGAATGAATGAACACATTACTGAATCAACGAATCAGTGAAATTTCAGAATAAATAAATTAATAAATAAGTGAACTAAGTTAACGAATGAATACGTTACTGGATGAATGAATTAATACAATTTTGCAGTAAATAAAAAATAAGCCGCGCGCGGCGGGGAGCCTGTGATCTGGTGTGGGGGTGTTTCCTCTCTCACTGAGATGTTCATACAAACAGTGAGTTTTAATCAGCTGTGATGGTGAACAAGCCAAACAGCATTAGAACTGCAGGAACAGAGTCTGAGACGCTGAACTGCGTCTTTGAGCTCCTCTCAGCCCCGTTTGAGCGACGTTTCGCTGTAAATGATGGTAAAATAAACCAGGCTGAATGGAGTCTAACATGGATTAAGCGAAGAGCCGCTTCAGTGTCTGTCTTTCTGTCTGGCTGCGACTCTGAAGGGTCTTTGGCTCCGTGCCAGCCTGTCTGAGCTGTAGGGTCTCCGAATCCAGCGATACAGAGATATCAGACTGTCTGATGAAGTTCGTGTGAAACTCGTTACCTGTTTATTAGATTGTTTCTTTTATTTCGCCGCTCGCGTGCGCGCACCTCTGGCGCGCGGGTTAAACTTTGGCCAGGTTGCGTGAGAACGCGAGAGGGAGCTGAGCCCGCGCGAGTGAGGATGCTGGAGCAGGGGGAGGGGGTTAACCGAGTTCACACACACACACACACACATACACACACACATCATTTACATAACATTAGGGGTGAGGGTTAGGCTTTGGGGTAAAATCTGTTTTGAGGAGAAAGGGGAACTACACCGATTTTTCAGAATTCCTACATAAATAAATCATTAAGATGAAAACAAAATCATTCAGAGCGCTGCTCACAGTGGTGGTGATGGGAACCAGACGTCTGAAGAGTGTGATGGCTCTAAAATGATACTGATACTGTTTTCCAGGAGTTTTTTTTCATCATGAACATTCCATATAAACACCCAGAAGACACGTGCAGGGTTACTGTTGATGTTAATGAATTATAGGGCGGCTGTCTAAGCGTTGGCCCCATCATCAGAAGACACACTATTTTCCCATCATGAACATTTCATATATACACTCTGAAGACACGTATAGGTTCACTGGAGGTTTTGGAGAGTAAATAATAATAACCACAAACAAAGAAACAAATAAATAAGTAAATAAATGACCAAATTAATGAACTAATTAATAAAGCATATAATTTCCCACGACTCGGAGGAAGCCTGTGTTAGCCTCCAGTCTCCTAGCGCTGGTGGTGTGGTGTGATTGGAGGAGTCCTGACTAGAGGGTGGAACTGGGTACGATTAAACCGGGGAGAATATTGGGAAAACATTCTTTAAATGTATGAATAAACATGTTAATTAATCAAATAAATAAGTAAACAAATAAATAATTAGTTTTGTACTAAAAGATACAGTGCTAAACAAACGCCTACAGCACAGGATGAAGATCTGTTGCATAGACCTGTGAAGTGAATGAATGAGTGCATACATACATACATAAATAAATAAATACATAAATAAATGAATGAATAAATAAATAAATATGTTTATTAGATTGTTTCTTTTATTTCAACGCTCGCGTGCGCGCATCCCTGGCGCGCAGGTTAAACTTTGGCCAAGTTGCGTGAGAGCGCAAGAGGGAGCTGAGCCCGCGTGAGTGAGGATGCTGGGGCGGGGTGGAGTGGGTCAACCGAGTTCACACACACACACACACACACACACACACACACACACACACACACACACAATCATTCGTTCATCATCTCCTGCTCGAGACAGGTGAGCCCCAGCTGTTAAGGTGAAAGGGGAATTCCACCGACTTTTCTAAATTCCTGCATAAATAAATCATTAAGAGGAAAACTGTCACGCGCAGAAGGAGATGTTATTCATGCTAAACTTGTGGAAGAGTTGCAGATTCCTGTGGAGCCCCTGCAGACCCCATTGCGAGTCATGGCACTGGACTGGGATCCAGTGGGAGCAGTGCTCCATAACACAAAAGACTGAACCTGAATGGAGACATTGGTTAGAGGGTGCTACCCACCCCTTCCTTGTTCTCACAGATCACAAGAACCTTGAATATCTTTGCCCTGCGAAAAGTCTGAACCCCCAACAAGCATGCTGGTCATATTTTTTCTCTAGATTCAGTATTTCTTTTCGCCCCAGTTCTCATAAGACCAAAGCAGATGCTCTGTCAAGAATCCACCAGAATAAAGACAAGGAGGTCAAAAAACAAGACCTCAAAAATGTCCACACATTAATATTTCCGCTATTCATTGGGCCATAGACAAGGAGATAGAAAAGGCACTAGAGAATCTCACAATACCTGTGCAGTGTCCCTCTGGAAAGACTTACATTCCTGAAAGGAGTAGAGACAGGCTTATCACTTGGGCTCACTGATCACTCACTTCTGGTCATCCAGGTGAGACACATACCCCAACAAACTTATACCTTTACCTGTATCTAATAATCCTTGGTCACACTTAGCTCTTGATTTTGTCTCTGATTTGCCAGACTCTCAGGGTTCCACCACCATACTCACCATCGTGGATAGATTCTCCCGTAGTGTCCGTTTTATTCGATTCACGTCTTTGCCCACCACATTTCAAACAGCTGATTAACCTGGTTAATCAGGTTTTCTGTTATTTTGGGTTCCCTTAGGATATCATATCAGATAGGGGTCCCCAGTTCATTTTT